TGCTTTAAATAAGAAAGGAGGAAGAGCAACTTCCCTCATTAGAACCTTGAAGAGAGTATGAAAAGCAGCTCTATTACTTGATTTCTTATTGCTCGTCAACTGTTGCCTCTCTTTAGGAACTGTCTGAGATTTCAGAGCTGACAGACTGAGCATAATTAAAATGAAACATATTTCTCATTTCAACTCAAAAAACAGTTCTGCAAAGAACGTGGCGAAAACTGAGGACAGAACTGAGGATTTAAGACTTAGGTGAATTTTTATTCCAATAACTTTTGTAAGTTTTTCTATACTTCTGGCGTCTTGGGGAGATTTCTAGTGGAAGCAGCAACAAAAATTTTCAAAACTGAGTTTGTTTTTTTTTCTTTCCAGAAAAATGTGAAGCTTTTTAAAAATGGGAATTTCATGCAGCTTCCTAAAATGGCTCTGCTTACCCATTAACGCACTTTATATTTAGCACAAGACCACAAGCAGACAAGATTGCTAGACTAGACTGTTTTAGGGAAGAACAATCCACTTTGCTTCTCTACTTGCAGCACTGCTAAAGCAAAGAGCACTGCAGGACTAGGGGAAATGGACGCAAAATGGAAAAATGTTACATTTCAAAAATACCTCATTGAACAAACTGCACCAAAAAACTGGGCACAAATACAACTGGGGTAAAGCAATCAGTAGAGCATCTTTAGTTAGGCTCAAGACTAGACAAACTAAGCTCTTTGAGACTGCTTTTGGGAAGGTTTTATATAGGCAGACTATTTTCAACGTGTTGTCATGCCACTAACTCGCAGCCCTGTGAACCTCTCAGGGTCCATCTGGACAGCGCAAGGCGCTTTCCATCACGTCACCGAGGGCAGAGCAGGGAACAAAAAGCAGAGTTTTTTACATATTGCTCAAGTCTTTCGCTAGCCAGTGACCACAGTTATTTCTACAGCTTATTTTGACACTGCACTCCTGCCGTTCACACACATCACAGAGAGAAAAGTGGCAGAAACTGCTGCAAAAAGTAGAATTTCACTTACGTTCCTAATTTTAACTCTTCCAAAAAATCTGGGGATAAAGACATAATGAAAAACTATGCATGTCTCTGATATCTCTTCAATCTCCTCATTCTCCTTTTATTATTTTATCAAAGGGAAACAAAGCACATAAATTTCAAGTTCATATGCCTGGTTCAATCATGTAAGATCCAGAATATACCAGTAAAATAATGACCTTGGTGCAAGTTGATCATGGTTTGGCACTCACTTTTGTTGCAACAAAACTGTTTTTAGGTGGTATGAAGTCATCAAATAGTGTAAGTTTGCTAAGCAGCCCAATGCTCCTGAAGTCAGGGAAAACTCACACAATTATGTATTTTTACAACAAGCCTTGGGGATAAGGCCTTTCTCCACGTGCATCATTAAATATTTACTGCCACAACATCCCAGTGTTTTCACAAAAGCAAATACAATATTAATTTTGAAGACATTAACTTAGAGCACTCACCAACTTCAAAAGCATCTCTAAAACAAAGGAATTCTGAATGCGGTGAGGCAAGATTTGTGCTATCTGAAGTGACTAACCTACATAAGTTGACAAAGACCAGAAGCATCTTGTATTCAAAACTGAATCTATGTTAAATCGAAGGCACTTCAACTCAGAGGCACTTAAGAACAGCAATTAAAGTTCATAAATCCATTTGCACCTGAAAGTGTTGTACCATCCTATTCACATTAGATGAGTGCTGTAATTGCAAAAGAAAAATAACACGGTCACTTACGGAAATTTGAGCGTTATCTACCAAAACCACTGCTGAGCTCAGATGCAAAATTGATTTCACTAAAAATAAAAACCTGCTATGGTACCAATGCTGTGAACAGAAAGCACAGCATCTAATGTAAGGATGGCAAATCTGATAGTGCTCTGCCTTTTTTTTTTTTTTTTTTTCTGAAGGACAGTTAATAATAAAAATTAGAATAGTAGATAATTATTTCTAAATTGTTACCACACTTGCTGTCTTCCTCCCCTTCAAAGTGTCCCGTTCTAACACCCAGCTACCCCATCCATAACCCAAACCACTTTAACTGATCAGCCACCTATTCCGGCGTCACTTTTTGGCAGGAACATGCCACTTTGTTTGGAAAATCTGCACAGAGACTTAGAAGAGGGAAGCTTTTCTACAGAGAGCGCTACATAAATAAAGAATCGAATCCCTGATCATTTTCATATGCTGCCAGGCTTTGGATGGATGAATGTTTCCACAGAGCTGGCGCCTCTGCTTTGGGTAGGAGTGGGTGGAATATTGTAAGATTCCCCTTCCCTCCCCCTCTAAACCAGAATCTGGTCTCTATTAAAGCCATTTCTGCTATAACACTGGTCTGAAATAGTTTGATTTTACACAGTGCTGCAATTTCTGTAACCATCTTTGAACAGGATCTCATCACTATTAAAGTCCACCAGCTTCTAGTTATACTGTCCGGGCCAAGATTTTTAAGTTCTGGTAATGATGAAAGATGTAGATATATGACAGAAAAAGAAGTCCTGCTTTGGGAAACTCCAACCAAAAGTAGTACAGCATAAATAAAAATGTGCTCAGCACACTTGGAGTCCACCTTTGCTAACCACCCTGCAAGAACTTCATCAAATCCCATCTCTGTAGGTCAAGCTGCATCTTCAGTTCTACTATTGAAATTACACAAGCAGCAGGCAACAAGGTTTGACTAACATTTCAACAACTGTCAGCAGTGCAATCACCACAGGGGAACAACTGACCAACCGGATTTCCAAGGTGACCGAGTGTGTGAATGCTGGAAAATCTGATACAGGTCATAAATGCAACAAACAGGAATATGCAGCAGGATCCCTTGTGCACCCCTTCCCACAGATAATTTATATGGTCACGAGCACTGGACGCCAGGCCAAAAATGAAAGGATCTAATACATGAATCATTTCTCCAAAATATCCTGATTTTTTATCAGTCTTAAGACTGAGAGTGCAAAAGCTCATCTGTAAACGTTTCAGATATGTAGTCAGGAAAATTTCCCCAAAACACACAAATAAAGACTGAAATCTAAAAAACAATTGCAGAACTACTACTAATTGAGGCAAAAAGGTGTTACATATTAAATAAATACTGCACAAAATACATATACATTGTACACTAAAATAAAACTGAACACACAAATTTATTGCAATTTTTAAAATCATGCATTTTAATTACATAATCTACAAGTTCCATTCTGCTTAAACACAATTTAAATAAAGCTTTTGTCCTTTTCTTCCTTTTTGTAGGTGATCTGTGTCAGTGTTTTAGAGATGGGATAACATCTCTTCTACTAAGAGAAAATGGCAACTAATGAGATCAATTAATAGCAACTGCCTGTTGTCTTTATCAAAACCAATATATTTTGGGAAGTTACTGAACTCTGTCCAGGGATGCTGCTTTTTGGGGCTCCCTGTCATGAGTCATATCTGCTGTGAAGACCCAGATGCTTAATATTAACTCAGTCCCAACCTTAATTGACAAAGTTTTCATGCCTTCTAGTTGCAAAATAATGGTTTTCTACACTTCAAGACAGGAATTCAAGACAGGAATATGGCCCAAAACTCCAATAATGATTCCAGAAAGTCTCACTGATTTTAAGCCTTCAGCACTCAAGTACAGAGCTTCCTTTCTGTAGGAATGAAAGTGGGGAAGAAGGTTAACAGCGAAGGAAAATAATTCAAGAAAAGCTGTAAGTAAAACAAGGTCAGGAAAACAAGATGGAAGGCAGGGTGTACAGTTCCTATCATGTGGTTCACATCAAGGCATTCACTCTTGTTCCAAGTAAGCTACCTCAGATCCTCATAACCAACTTTAAGTTAATTTTCCCTTTTGAACTGACCTTGCAACAAGGCTAGAGCTTCGCTGTGACCAACAGACATAACGATTCAGCCCATTTTGCTCTTGCAAACATCAGGAACACACAGACAGGGGGTTTGCCTTCCCTATGCTGACACCTAGCTGGGCTGCATCTCCTCAAAGTGACCCACGATATTCTCTAGATCTTTCCTTTTTCTCTCAAAATTGCTCTGTGCCTTCCCTTTTTACTTGGAAGGGAGCAAAGTCTGTGTAACCATCTCAGTATCAGTCAGCAGGCAGATGGGGAAGACGTGTAGCCACAACAGTGATTGAATTTTCTAAAATCCAGAGTACAAGCAGACTGCTCACATTTGCTTACCGGAAGCTTAGACCGTAGTTCTGATAAACTAGAAAGCTGAGTTCTCACAGAAATTCAAACAAACAGTTTTCTCAATATTCTTTGCCTGATCTGCAACTTGCCTTAACTCACCAATTCTCCCTCCTGTACTGCTGCTCCTCTCACAGCTCTGCCCTTTCCGACATCACTGAGCAGCTGCTTTGCATTCCCTTTTCTGGCTCCTCTTTCCTTGATCCCAGTAATTTCTGCTCTCATCACTAAGGAAAAGGATTTAAGGCTGTGGGGCCCTAAAGCAGCAAGGAACAAGGAAGAGGGAACTATACCAGTGAGGTGGAGGAAAGGAATAGCACTAGAGAGAAAAAGATGAGTGGAAAGTAAAGCTAAACCTGCAGGAGAAAGCAGACTGCGTCAACTGAATCTGTTCACCAGTAATGTTTTTCACAACACACGGTGAAATTATCTGCAAATTATCTGCCTGCAGCTCCCTAAAGCTTCCAGGCCTCATAAGAGAGGCATGGGAGAGAAGGCCCCTTCATCTGCTTTTAAAAAATCCCTTTGACAGAGATGTAGTAGCTCTGCAAGCCAGCCTAGCCTTAAAACTTAATACCCCAAAAAAGATCACCTACAGAGAGGAAAAAAAAAGGCAAGAATGAAACATTCTTAATTTAAGCTTCAAAAACTTGAAATTTGAGTGTTAGAAACAATACATTTTGCAAACGACAAACAAAATCCACAACACTGTACAGACACACACATTATTGCAAATAAGCTAGAGTTTTGGGAAAGTACTAACCAGTTACTGACAGCAGCTGTGAAACCCTCACCTCCATTTCCTCCCGATGAGACCTGTCTCTATCCTCGAACTCGCGAGTTCTTCTCCGAGCTTCTTCAAAGGCTTGTTGTGCCAATGCATCCTCCTGCTACCAAAGCAGATGACAAAAAGATTGCCCACATTTCTACCAGACTGCATTTCTTTGGAATATTAGAGATCATCTGACAATGCCAAAAACAATTCAGTGCTACAGCGGCCGCCAGGACACCAAAACAGGAGTTATTCCAGTAATCACTAATAGAGGTTAGTGATGACTGCTCAACTTCATCCCTGCAAGATCAGTAACCAAACCTGCAAGGCAGCCGCTATTTAAATGCATTTTCGAAGCAGGAACTCCTTTGCAGAAGGATTTGCTTTCTCATTGTTAGTACTTCAAAGGAAACCTCAAAAGTTCTATGAGACAACACATTTTATTCTCTTTATAAAAGTCATTTTTAAGACAGCATTTACAAATATATCTACCAAAGAGTTCGTTGACACCCTAATACAAAAGTAAACTAATTCTTTCAATTAAAAAAGTATTATGTAAGCTACAGATTAATTAAATCCTCCATTTTCTCACAAGCTGCTGCAGGTGAATCAGTATGAACATTGAGACCCATTATGTATCATTTAAATTTAGTTGCACTAGAAAATGCAAAGCTCTAATTACCCCTCCACTAATGTGTGCACATGCACATACAAATCAGAAGAAAGCTGGAGGCTTTCTGCAGCCCTGCTCTTTGATTTTTAAATATAATAGCTTATGGACAGGAATAGCTTTAATGAATTAATGCACAAAAACTTTGATTTACATTTTCTATTGGAAAAATATAATAATAAACAAAATGTTTTTGATATCTAAGCCATTAATAATTGGCTTACAAATTATTTCCCTTTAAGACGGGTAGTTAGACTTATTTTGTTCAGAATTAGAGTAGGTATTTTTGTTCCCCACCGATGTTTTTACGTGTCCACAATGGAGTAGCCAACCCTGAAGAGGAACAACACAACTGTAAAGAATAAACTGAACTGCTTCTTCCCCGGTAACGCTTCAGCCATGACTGTTACTAACTCTGCTTAGGATGCCCACACACACACGTTATGTTACTTTAAAGCCAACAGTTCTCTTAGAGAGATAAAAAGCCTAACCTTGGCAGAGGACAAAATCATGCTGGGAATCCCGCTACATTTTTATATACCGGGGGATTAAGTGCATAAATTTTTTAATTCGAGATAAAGCCTCCCTGCTGCACGGTGTGTTGGATTGCTCTTCTTGCCCGAGGCGCAGCCCCTCGCGGCCCCGCGCGCTGCCTGCCCAGCACCGCCTGCGCGCAGCCCAATCCCCCAAACGCCACCCCGAAGGGCAATGTTTAAAGCTGCCAATAAGACGGCGCTTTGACAGCATCTACCATTTTTCAAATGGGAATTTACCCCTTTCTAGCTCTTTTAATGTTCATGTTCACAGCAGCTGAGGTCAGGGAGGGAAAAGTAAGGATGTTCTTCATAATGCAAAAGGACAGAGATAAAACTGACTGACTACAGAAATGCTGCCTTATTACTCATTTAAAGAGGCTACATAAAATGTCATTACCACCCTATTTTAACAGGCTTAATGTGGATTTCTGTGTAAAGGGTATTTACATTTTGCCATCGTTTAAAGCAGCCGTGTAACGAAAGGCTAACGTATAGACCCTGCCAGATTATTTTTTAAAAATGGCCATGACCAGCAAAACCAAAATCAGAGTATCTGAGAAGAATCAAAGTTTTGTCATCCAGAAGGAACACATGTTAACAGCTGAATCATCAGTTTACCAATGTCTGAGAAAAAAAGTAAAAATGTCAATAAATTAAAAAATACCTGCTCTGCTTTTGGTAATGTGCTATAATAGTTAAACAAGCAGGATCTCAGGATCTTGGACATCAGGAGCTTAAGCCTTTCTTCCTCCCCTAAATGTCATCCAAATCTAGTAATTGTAGCCCCGTGAATTTCACTATATTCAACCCAACCATTTATCCACCTGACTTTAAGCCTGCAAAAGTGTTCCAGGTAGGAGTGTACTAACAAGCAGAACAAGCAGCAAGTTGTGTCGGCCTGAAAACAAAACAAAACAGAAAACCCAAATCAAAAAACAGACTCACACAGACACACACACAGAGCTGAGATGGGAGCTGACAGCAGAGCAGTCTGGCAGGAAAAGCTTTAATGAGAACAGCATTAGAGCTCCAGGATCCACACAGCAAGAACGGCTCCTTGCAGAAGGGATCTGCGAGGACCCAACCCAGAAACAGATGTGGGCTCAGTGAGAGGCAAGACAAGCACCAAACTCGAGGAAAACTCCCCCCTGCATGGGGGGCAGGCGAGGATGTGCAAGGAGCTTGGGCCATGGAGGTCCGTACGGGCGGTTCAGGCAGAGCCCCGAGACAGCAGCAGCCAAGAACAATTTAACCTGAGCCCCAACAAGGCTTCCAACACCGATGCATTTTATCCAAATATAAACTTTTTTTTTTTCCCTCCTCAACTGTTGCTTTATGTAAAAACAAGTCCAATGCAACATAAAGGTGTATTTGCTTTTCTGGGCTTGCGCATAGTACCTTTGGACATGGACAACCCCTAGGCACTACTGTTTTAGCAAATAACATGGCTAGTAACCTCCCAGTAACCAACATGGGGAAACAGAGAACAGATCACACACCTGTAAGAGTACAAAAACAGAGCGCTCAATCCACACGGTGTTTAGTACCTCTGGCTCAGACCCTGAACTCAGACTAAATCATGTGCAAGTGCACAAAGAAATTTTTTTGAGGACAAAAACGCTCGTTAAACATAGCTAAGAGCCTGCACGTCAGGAAAGTAAAATAATCCAAGATCATGCAAGTAGCAAGAAAACATTTATTATAAAATCAACACAAGGAAAGGGAATCTATGCATTTCACAACCCCCCTTTATAGATGAGGGCCCATTTTTCCCAGGGACTATCACATTTCGGGTAAGAATAACCAGCGTGCCCTGAGCGCCCACTCCAAATCAGCCTCTTCCATTCCTAAGTCACCTTACTTTAGTGTTGGTTGTTTTTCAAACGTATCATCAATCAGCTTGAAGAATCTGGGGATTTCTCTTGCACAATCCTCAGAGGTCTGTGTTTGAGCTTGCTGTGTAAGGCGCTAGACAAGAGCAGTTCTGGTCCACGGATTTCACAGCATTTATCTCTTCTCAGAGAGAAAACTGCTGCAACAAACTTAGCTTGCTCAAGTGCCAACAAAGTAGCAGATGCTATTTTGAGCATCAGTGTTCAAAGAAAAGCTTGGTTCTGTGGCTTGGACACACTCAAACTAACACTGTCTCACTAATATGGAAGTTGGTGCTTAAGGTTTAGGAGAGGCAGGGGAGGATAAAACTTGCAACTATTCATATATATAAAATTTAATTTGAATACTTCTAATTTTTATACAGAAAGTAATCAAGACATCCCCCCACTGTTCATTTGCAACAAATAAACAATGCTCTGTGTGTTTAAGGGGAGTCTTCTCATGGCTTCTCAGTTGTTTGGTGGTGACTGGATGCCGTACCAGAACAACTAAGAAGGAAACCTCAAGAAAGGGAGGACTGAGAATGAGGTGCACATGGTGCAAATGGAAAATAAATCCTCATTTAAATCAGTTCCAGCGTACAACTGCCAGAAGCACTTTGCCAGAGAGAGTTACCACCCTCAGAAAGGAACAGCAGAGGTACAGTTGGGCAGAAGCACTTCAGCATCATTGAGGTTCACATCAGAAAAAGCTTTCCAAGAACAGAAGTCACCAGTGAGGATCATACCGAAAGCTTTGTTCCAAGGACAACAGAAGTCACCAGTGAGGATCATACCAGACACAGTCCTTGGCCAACCTGTCTGGATGACTCCTCAGCTGGTGCTGAGGACCTACGGCCATGTCCTCAGTACAGAAGGTTTTACTTTGGCCTCTCCCTAGTGTAGCCCTTAGAGGCCAAGGCATTAGGTGCATTCCCACAGGATCCTCTCCAGCTCAGCTGCATCCAAACGGAAGGCAATTCACACACTCAGACTGCTCTGTTGGATGAACCACGGCATGGTAAGTGGAAACAGGAAGGATGTTATTTGGAAGGCAATTCACTCGGACTACTCTGTTGGATGAACCACGGCACGGTAAGTGGAAACAGGAAGGATGTTATTTAAAATGTGGGCATTTATGCAATCATGCACCTTGCAAGTTTTATTATGTGCAAATATCCCTATAGATCAAGATGAGGAATGGGAGCCAAAAGAAAGGAAAAAGCAACAGTTCAAATGAAGAGCAAGTTTTTGCTAAGCCATTCATATGTACAGGGTACAGAAGACATCACACACACACACACAAAAAGCCATCGCTAAGGTCACAAATGTGAATTACTTGTATTTCCAGAAGAGTCTAGGGTGCAGGAGCACTAATATTCCCTATTCACACATTTCTGAAACCAGCCCCGGGCAGACTGCCTTACCTGTGCCCTCTCCTCATCAAATTCCAGGCAGCCCATACCGTCCAGTCTCTGCAGATCTATCCAGCCTTTCCAGATTACACAGACACCATTAAGAATCATGGGTGCCTTCAAGTACACCTGAAATTAAAACAAAACATATGCAATGAATTTGAAAGCATTTGCACACACATGCATACATGGAAAATACCGAGGCAGGAAGCCTCTATATGTGCTCTTAGAAGAGCCTCCAAGCCAGGCAGTAACATGAGATTCCACTTAGCAGTTGCTCCCGCCTCCTTTCCAAGGACTCGTTTTAATCAAGGGAATGCTGTAACTTTGCCTACTGTAGAGCATGGAATAGATTTAGGCTGTGTTCTCATTTTATAACCCAGCCTGCACCCGGATTTGGTTAGAATTCCCTTCCTGCTTTCAGCTGCAGGAGCTTTTTTCCTCATCAGGTTACTCTCATGTCACAAGAAGGGCCATGGTGCCAGCTAGGGAAGATGCTTTATCAGAGGGACTCCATTTAAATGGTTAAATGAATCCAGGTCTTCCTGCTGTCCAAGAGTTTGCTATAAAGCGATGTATCCTGAAAGTTGTAATCAATAAAACATGCAGCAAGTCAATAACCAAGAAGGAAAGGTTATTCCAGGTTTTCCACCAAAAGCAGCACAGATCCAAGCTTTCTGTCCTGGAATTCGCTAAAATTTCTGCAGGGGCAGCACTCACAGGGGTGCAGAAGAGCCTCTGTGAACACAGCAGGCACAGGGAGCGTGAGTAAGATGTGGAGTAGCAGGAACCCACCTCCCACCAGTCTCATTTCAAGAATTCTCATTTCAGAAATAGCAAATACAACATCACTCTTTCAGCATAGTCTTGCTCATTCATCCCCCAAGAAATTAATGCAGTACAGACAACTGATTTAATTGGCACGCTTAATTAGCTTAGAAATGAAAAAGACAGTTAAAGGGCCCTTTAGAAGAGTCATTCTCTTCTACAGTGAAAGCATAACATAGATTGAAAGGGAAAAAGCTGAGCAAAGACCACACACAATCCCTACTCTAATACCAGCTACTTCTTGCAAAAACAAAAATGTTCTTTGCAGATTTTTACTTAGGGGTCACCTTTCATGCACGTGGAATACCAGGATTTCTGCGGCACTTCCCCCTAGGAGCAGGACACGCAGCTTTTCAAAGAGAAACCTTCCAGGAGGGAATTCTCTTGTGCTTTGGGTCCCGCTCCCCACCCCCTGGGAATGCTGTGCTGCCACGGGTGCTGGTGCACGCAGCTCGCTGACCATCTGCGCGGGTAGCAGGGCTGCAAAAGCAGCACCTCGGGCACCACCGCGGAGCCTGAGCGGCTTGGGGAAGTCTCCAGAAGCAAAGGGAGAAAAGGGAACCGGGCGGACAGAGGTGCCGCTGGTGCCCGGGATGACGCCCGCGAGGGAGGCGCGCTCTGCCTGCGCCCGAATCCCAGTCCTTAAAGCCTCTTCAACCCTTAAGGGTCCTTATTGCTACCAATAATGACCATATTTCACTCGGAAAAGTGCGAGCTCCTTAACTAGCTCCTTGAGCTCTGAAGATTCCACAGAATCATTCAAACTGAGTAATTCCCACGTACTTACGTGAAAATACACACTATAAAGCACACGAATGCTCCCTCCTTTATTGTAGGGAGGAATTTAGCCTCTTGCTCCCCCCTCTCCTCTTGCTGGAAGGATGGAAACCACCTAAGGCTGTAGCCAAAACCGTTTAACCACATATTTCCTTCTTTTCAGATAAAGCCATGGTGGTTCCTTTTCAATTTCCAAGCTTAACAGAATATTACTAAATTGCTCCTCTTGTGTACAATCACGTGAGCTACATTAGTGTGCCTCAAAATCCAAAATAACGTTATCTTTTAAAAACTTGCAAAGTTCTGAATTCCAAAAATTGCCTAAAGAAGGCCACGCTAAGATAGCAAGGGAAAAATCCACTTCAATAAAGACCCCAAGCTCCCCCTTCATAGTACAGAGCTATTCATTTTTTCATCTAAAAATAAAGACAGGTTTGGTAGAATATCTCTTTCAAGATTTTGTTGCTAAAACCAGATTAATTGCATTTAGATCATTTTACAAATCCTCCCCGCCCTTCTGGTGCTTTTTATGACAACATCTGGCAGTCAGGCTAGTAAAACTCGAGACACTTGGGTGAAAAGCACTTGAGCAGGAAGAAAAAGGAGGGGTTGGGAAATAGGCAATTACCTATTTCACACTCAGTATAGCAATTTAATGGTACCTAAAGAAACACCCTACAGGGATCCATGCCAGAAGATGAAATTTAATGATCTGTATTACACTGGTGCCTCTTTCAGAGCCGAGTCCATCCTAGGCACAGAGAGGCACAACTTCCCCAACATGAAGCAGACTGGAATACACCTCGATTAAATATTATCATACACAGGTTAATGGAGGAGAGAGCAAGTTCATATGTATGGAAAATCTCAGCTGGGTTCTTCCTCATCTTCCTGCATACTGCATTTTGTTCCCTAGATAATTAAAAAAAAGGCAAAAACTTTTGTCATATGCAATATTAATAAAAAAAGAAATGAAATGAGACCAAAAATTTTATATTTGTGCATCTTTTAGTTTCATCAGGCCACAGAGCTTGTATTCCCTCATTGATGCTGTAGTACACACCTGCTGCTTTGCCCGAGAAACACCAGGTACCAGCACTGCTCTCGGAACCAGCCGGTGCACAAACACTCTACATTAACTGTGCAGTAGCAGCCTTATTTTCCACACATTGACACAGCCAAAACTCACCAGTTTGTTCGATTTTGAGACCTGGATAAACTGCCACGCTTCGAGACCTGCTTTCTATATCCAGCTCATGTTTCTGAACCCGCTCAAGTGGGTGAGAGACACAGTGAATAATGAAAACACAACCACAGAGGCAACAGCACACCATGATTTAGCACCTCTTTTTGGAGGAGAGGCAGCTTTGGAGAGCAGTCACCTCTGCACACAGGCTCCTGCAGCAAAATGCCTAATACACAGGCTGGTGGCATCCTTGGAGCTCCAGGCAGGACAGTAAGCCATAAAGCAGCTTTCTTTACATATCATAGCAATTTTTACTAGCGTGTAACAGCCATCTGAGTAGAGATTTACCTGTTATGTCAAAGTTTTTCTCTTCTTGCAGTTCAAACTGTCATAATAAACCATAGCAGTAGCAAAAATCTTTAGTAAAGAAATTCGTACTCATGTTTTACTTGTGCTCTGCTGCCCTACCAACCAGTTGGATTGATCCCAAAGATGACTGTTCTGCACCTCCAATGAACAGAGTATCTCGTCTTTCTTCTCACACTCCCATTTGGGCACCCTTTCAACTGATCTCTCTTATTTTGCTTCATCTGCATTTAAATGAATAACCATCCCCTGCAACTAAACAGGAGTTACTGTGTAGGGGGGGAGGGAGAAGAAAAGAAAAAAAGCCAGGGGCTTGGTTCTGTGCAACACTTGGTTCATGTTTTTATAAACCAAACTTGATTTGAATAAAGTGAAGTAGAGAGAAGGCAATTCTCAATGACTTGAAAAAAAGTTATTTTACTTGAGCTCGAGACAAAACCTCAGTTTCACATCCTATTTTAGTTCTCTAGTAAACCCTTATCTCACCATAGCAGGGTATTTAAGTGATGTGATGGAGATAGGTTATCGGGGCGCTCCATCCTCACATCCTGCAGTTACAGCCAACACTCCCTGCCCCAACGGAGCCACTTCCTGCACGGAGGTTCCCGGCGGCGGCTCCGCCACCCACGGCCAATGAATCAGCCATGGGGCCACCAGCGGGACGAGCGGCACCACCGGCACCTTCCCACGAGTGACCACAGGGAGAAACAGCTGTAAAACACTCATTCCAAGTAAGATTTTAAACCATCAAGTCTGCTGTCATTTCGGCTTCTTCTACAATGTTCAGAATTCACTGGATTTGCCTGCCCTTCTTGCCAGTTTACCTCTCGAGATTTGGTCAGCTCTATTTACCTGGGAATGAAAGTCAGGAGAGTTTAGGGTAAAAAAGAATGCTGCTTAGAAAATCAAAGAAGTGAGGCAGACTTTGGTAAGATCTATGAAACAAAAGAACTCCCGCTTGGAGAATTTATACTGCTGTAAATATTTATTTTATTCAACAACTGGGGAAGAGGATGGCATTTTTAATCTGAGAACAATAGACTTCTTAGCAATTTATAATGATGCATTAAAGTTGAAGAGCTCAAAAATCCATCAAGTTTAAATCAATCCTGGCACCTCCTGTGCTCCAAAGGGTGGGGAACAGAACCACTCTCCTCATTATCTGCGCTACCAATTACAGCACCCAGAGAACAAGAGCAACTAGATCAAATATCCTCTGAGATTAACTTATAGTTGGTGCCCTGTCATACCCAGGGTTCAGAGCCAGCATTTTCACTCATCTTAGCATTATAGTGCACAAACTCATTAGAACTACTTGCAAAAATGTTTGGTTTAGTATTTCCCCCAAGAACCCAAGCCTGATTCCTCTCAGTCCAAGGGTTAAAGGCACCTATTGGCTAGCTGTGTTTTCCCTAGTTACCTGCATTTTTCATAGGTTTCTCTGAATTTAAAAGGGACACACACTGTGGACACACTCCACTGGAAATTCCAACAACATTGCCCTATTGACAAACACCCAATTTTGAGAGCTCAGCCATATTACCCTTGCTTTTAAAGGAAAATAAAAAAGTCTTTAAGTTGTTCCAAAATGTGCATCATGAAACAGTTCCCAGCCCATAAAAATGAGATCACTGACTGTGCTAAGCGCTCATCCTTCAGCTGCTCTGTAAGAAGCAAAGGAAGTGACGCTTCCTGGCAAAACCAGCCTCCTTCCTAAACAGCCGTACGTGGATGACCAAGCTGTGGCTTTCGAGATGAATGCGCAGCCTGCGAGCGCCGTGAGGGTGGCACCTGTGTCACTGCCGTGTCACAGCGGCCGAGCAGCTCCCCGGCAGCGTGAGAGCGGCCGGCAACGCGGGCGGCTGCCCGGGGAAGGGGAGCCCCTCCGGCGCAAGGACCGCGTCCCCTGCGACCTGCCCGCGGCTCTGGGCCGCTCTTCAGCGGAAAGCCTCTTTGGAGCAGGCAGACGGCA